GACGGGTGGGGCCTTAGGGGGTATATGGGGGGGGGGATCAGTTTTTTTTTTGTTTTTTTTTTTCCAGTTTGAGTGATTGGGCGCGTAGGGCCACGTGTCCGAGGCCCAACCCGCCATTTTTGTTTTTCGAAATTCAACAGGACAACCCCGTTTTTCCGTTTAACGGGAGTCAACGGGGGTCCCGCGGTCAATTCAATGGGTTCAACGACGTTTAACGACGTGCGGTCCGCACACACAGCTGGTGGTGCCTATAACATCAGAGCGGTACAGGTAATCCCTAACGTGTGATCTTGAGTCCTAGATGGACCTTTTGCACTCCATTTGGGGAAATGAAGCTCCTTGTAGCACTATACTCCAGCATTGCCTTCACTCTGGTTTTGCTGATCAGAGGTTTGAGTAAGATCAGATCTGATTTCACTTTCCTCTTTTCCTTTAATTGGAGATGGAGCATGCAGAGCTGATCAGACTCTTCCTCAGACAGGGGCTCATCAAAGAAGGGCTCGGTGCATATATATACAAAGAGTCAGTTGCAGCCTCACTACAACCAGGCTCATGGACTGATTCGCCTTCTGAAGAGGGAGAATGCAGTTCAGCAGGGATGGCTGCCACCTCTGCTGGCTTGCTCAGTTTTTTGAGTTGTTAGAGCCCCAAGTGAGACAGCCATTGACAAAGTTTTTGCGAACACAGCTGAGGCAAACTCCACCATCCTTCCTCTTCTGCCATGTCCCCTCGACAATCTTCAAATGTCTCCAGTGGAAAGAGCCAGGATCCATGGGGTTAGCTGGACACCTGGCAAACTTTGGGAGATTGGGTTTCTGGTGACCACCAGGGCATTTGCCTAACCCCTCAAGATTACAAGGCTCATCACAATCTGACCCGAAATCAGGGCAGCCTGATCTGTTGCTGCTCCTGCATCTAGACCAGTTGAAGGAATAGATCATCCCTGGCCAGAGCCTGCAACGTCATCATAAGATCCCATGGCATACATCCCTCCCTTTTCCCTTTTCCTGATTTGGGAAGAGGAGGTGTTTCCCTTTTGGGAAGTGGTCTGGAGATATAGGATAGCCTCCATTTCCAAAGCTGCCCGCCAAAAGACCTCCAGTCTTTGCGGCCTGCAATAAACAGGGCCTTTGCATATGTATCTGGAGCAGCTCTGACAAACCAAGTCAGTTTGTCCTGCTAGGACATCTCCAGACCAGGTGTAGATGTTTCTCCCACTCTGCATAGAGCTTGGTGAGGGATCTACGCCACTTGCTGTGGCCTAGTCGCACAAGCTCATTGTTGGCTTTGCGGGCTTTCTCCTTGCCCGTAAACCTGGTTTCAAGGCCCTGAAAAATGGCATTCAGACCAGTGACAACTATCCAGTCTGCTAGCTGCTTCTGGGCCTTGCTGGCCTCAGAAGTTGCCCACTTCAATGCAGTCCCTGCCAAAAGGGCCACAGTAGCACTTACTTTGTCCACCTCTAGACATGTATAGCCCTGAGATATGATCTCATATAGGCTATCCACTCTGGGGTCTTTCCCGTTGAATTCCTTAGGCTGGGCCATTTTGGGAAACCGCAGCTCCTGCTGCATTTGCTGGAACTCGGTCCTATTGTGGGCACAGTCCCAAGGACCTGTGCCACCTCTTCTTTTGGAGAAGGGGGTAGTAGGTTCTTGGGAGAGCTAGGATGGGATGTGTGTGGAGTGGGTGCAGATTGTTGTCGATGGACGGCAGCTGGAGCTCGACTGCTGAGGCCCATTTATCCCAGGATGTTTTTACATCCTGGGTATGAGCAGATTCCAGCAGGACGAACTCTGAAAGATTCCGCGTGACTTCAGCCACGCGGGTGTCAGTAGGAGTCTTGGAAATGTTGTCCTGCAACACAGGTCTTCTGGCTGCAGCTTTTCCTCTCCAAACTGCCTCCGCCTTCTCCTTCTTTATCCTCTCTACTTCTTTCTATGCTTCTGCAGCAGCTTTTTCTGCTGCCTGCAAGGCTACGTCCACGAGGTCTTCCTCAGTTAGGGGCTTCAGTTCTTCTCCACCTGTTTCAGGCTTCATGGATGTACTCATGCCTTCAGCAGGTCCCTTACCTCCGCCCTCTTCAGCCATAATGATCTTTTCAGAATTTTTTTTTTTTTTTTTTTTTTTTTATAACTTTGGACCGTTTCTCGATATATGTGTGTCATCCTTGCGCAGGGGCCATGCTAATCTTCTCTGTACTTCTTCTTCTTCTTCTAAATAATAATAATAATAATAATAATAATAATGTAATAATCTTCTCTATAGTACCTGTCTCTTATACACATCTAGATGTGTATAAGAGACAGCACACACACACACACACACACACACACACACACACACAGAGAGAGAGAGAGAGANTTTTTTTTTTTTTTTTTTTTTTTTTATAACTTTGGACCGTTTCTCGATATATGTGTGTCATCCTTGCGCAGGGGCCATGCTAATCTTCTCTGTATCGTTCCAATTCTAACGGATGTCCCGATGGACATCTTTTAAGAATTTATTTGTCAATAAAAGTTAAAACTTAAAAATGCAATGAACCCAGTCTGTTAGGTACTCAGAAGTCGTCAATCAACAGTAGTTTCAATATTTGTCTGAAAGTCCCCAGATCGTGAAGTGATATATCTAGCAGTATCTCATTATCCAAAAGGAGAAGAGTGTGGAGGGAGAATAGACAAAGGAGAGGAAGAGAGAATACACAGAACCCTTCAGATCCCTCTCCTTCTCCGGGCTTCGTTCCACGCTACATCATCAATAATAAGAAGAATAATCCTGGTCACATACAGTAGTGCCACGTGACACTTTATCTCATGAAGACTTTGAAGACACAGCAGATTTCCAGTGACGACGTCAGCCACAGGTGAGTACCCGATTCCCTATATCCACAGATCCCGATCTTCCTCTTCCTCGCAACCAATCACCTCATGTAGACAGCGAGGACAATGCCACGTCAGCAATCAAGACAGGTGGCATACGCCACATCATCAATGAAGACCAATAGCATCGCCACATAGACCAAGAGCAGCGACACATATACCAGAGGCGGCGTCATGTCAGCATGCCGCGTAGACCAGAGGCAGCACCACATATACCAGAGGCAGTGCCACGTCAGCATGCCATGTAGACCAGAGGTAGCGCCACATGTACCAGAGGCAGCGCCACATCAGCATGCCACGTAGACCAGAGGCAGCGCCACACGTACCAGAGGCAGTGCCACGTCAGCATGGCCTGGCGCACTGAAGAAGCGCCAGCATGCTGCCTCTACCGCGTGCTGTCGTCCGCAACGCCAGTGCAAAGCCAGCCTGAAGCCGGGGCCGTGTCAAAGTTGAGCCAGCGTCAAAGCAGCATAGCAAGACTGAATGCTGACCACCTCGAGGCCAGTCTTTAAGTAGCATTTGGCGAGGCGCTCTGGCCTCGGGTCTCCTTCCCTCAGTCGTCCAGATTGAATCACGGTCGAAGGCCTGGAACATACAGTTGCAGACATTCCCCTTGGACCTTATGCTGTCTGGGTACCTGCATACAAACAAGTGTGTGTGCTTGACCGGCGGCCTGGACTGGGTACCTTTGGACTTTGACTGTTGGGGTCACGGCAGTTGACAAAAGTCAACTGTCTCACGTCAAGCCCTGAATTTTCACGTGGGGTCTTTGCCCCTGTTTTCGGCCTGGGCTGAGGGTGGCCGATTTGGACCTCAGGCTTTCCACGAGACATATGGCATGGGTTATTGCAAAAAAAATAAATAAATAAAAAATGATTACCGTTCACACGCAGAAAACCAATAAAGAGAATTGTATGTTGTTTAGTTGACGATTTACACAAGGTTTGGAGAACATGGCAGATAGTGTCAAATGTCAAAGAACAGCGCGGGAGGTTACAGGCTCAGGCCAATGGCCAAAAGAGTCAATGGAACAGCCACGTTTGAGCCTGCAACCTGATGAGAAATACAATGCTGTTTTGATCAGGCTCGCTGCAGAGCCTTCCCAAAACCGTTAGCATTCCACAGCAAGGGGGAAGAACCTATTTTCGATGCAATCAAAAGAAAGGGAAAAAAGAAGCAGAGCAGATTTGATTTACCTCAATTGCAATCTTCAACACCTTACATTCGTAATCAAATTTGTAATATGCAATTTCACTAACACTCTGACCTCTTAGACAATGTGGCATACTCAGTTCCAGATGGGCCCTGCAGACTGCAGGGCCCGCCAGTTGGGCGTAGGGGTTTTCGCAGGGTTTATTGTCTGTGTCATTTCGGCCGTGTTAGGCCACGTAGGACGCAGTAGGCCACTATTCTTTTCGCCAGGTTCCTACTTTTGGCATCTTTCGCCAGACCCCTGCTTTTGGGCGCCAGACCATTTCGTATTTTCGTCAGGTTCCTACTTTTGGCAGCTTTTCACCAGACTCCTGCTTTTGGGTGCCATACCTTTTCGTATTTTCGCCACATTGCTACCTTTCGCGCCAGAAAAGATCCCGGCTCTCGGCGCCAGACCAGTTTTCCTTTCGCCAGACTGTTTCCTCTCGGCCTAGGACACTAGGCCCAGCATTATATATAGCTAGGCCAGCCTCATTCTAGGCAGGTAGTTCGGAGGTAGCATCACTAGTCTTCTGTAGTTGACGTGCTGGGCACAGTAGCACTGAGGTAGGGAGTAGTCTTCCAGCGTTGGGCGCTGTATTAGAGTAGTCGAGTTTCGGCTGGAGCACACTGCAGCAGGGGCCGGGGAGTTGAGGCTGGCGGAGGCCAGGGGACTTACCTGGCGACTTACCTGTGGCGCCATCACTTCAACTTGTCTTCAGTACGTCTTTACCTGCATCAAGGAGCCACCTTTCCGCAGGTCAGTACCTTGATACATCAGAGAGAGAGAGAGAGAGAGAGAGAGAGAGAGAGAGAGAGAGAGAGAGAGAGAGAGAGAGAGAGAGAGAGAGAGAGAGAGAGAGAGAGAG